CACACACACACACACACACACACACACACACACACACACACACAGACAAACCAACAGACACACTTAGCGCGTTATATATAGTAGGATAGCTGCTCTCATCGCAATGTGGACAGGAAGTGACGTTCGACGAGCAGTAGGGAAAATGTAAGTTGGGAAAGCGGTTGGCCTAAATGGGACGCCGATTGAGATATGGAAGACGCTCAGAGAACACGGGATACGTGGCTCACCCGATTCTCTAAGACTGTAACTGCTGAGGAAAGAATGTCAGATAAGGGAAGAAGCAAGCTCACTGTTCCCACTTTCTAGCAGAAGGGAGACTCGTTGCACTGTTCCAAGTATTGCCTGGTGACTGTACATACCACGAAGCTATACCGATACTTGAAGCCGCAGCGAAAGATTTTTCTCAGTACGTTTTACTTTTCTGAGATCAGTCGTGCCTCTCTACCAGTCATTAATTATTCAACTTTGAACTTTTCAGAATTTCCTTCTCATCACCAGAAACGAAATGGGATGCGGCTGTAGCTGAAATCACTGTGCTGACTACTTAACAACAGCCGCTATGGACTTTACCGTTACAGCCAGNATTCTCAGCTTGTTTCCACAGAAGTCATCCAGGTAAGTCTTCACAGAGGAGACTGTCCAAGAGAAGTTTCAGTGCTCAACTACCGATTTTCAGGTCCTGGACGCCTTACATAAAGCGCTTGAAGACGCCCAAGAATCGCGTTCCAATCAGAACGACTTCTTGGCCCTCAAGTCGATGACGCGTCTGCAATCGACGTCCAACCAACTTCTTCATGCCTTTTCAACGATCGTCTCCTCAGCCACTACTTAGCGCCTTTTCCTTGAATGACGGATACCGTATTACGACCGTTTTGCTCGTGGAACACCGTTAGTGCAAATGTCCATTGAGGCTGCGTCTATACCTGGCGAACACGCAGCCAAAAGACTTGATGATAAATACGTATCGATTTCTGCGCTTCCGTGCTATCGACCATAGCCTTGCCCTCCACTTATCGCCTGATACAGAACAGTACTTTCTTATTCGTAGGAAACTGTACAATTAAGAACAATCATCTGATTGGCGCAATAGGTGATGTCGCCAGTAAATTCGACAACTGTATACGCAGTTTTCGCACCGTCAATTACCTTAAGGGACACGGTAACGGGACAAAAAGTGTCATAACCGGCTTCCTCATAGTCCAAACGCTTTTGAAAAAGGTGAATCAGCGAAAAATTGACGTACATAACTCATTGAGTTAATACATCCCAATGAGCGCCCATCCCACAAACACTTTGGTTTTCATGGCAGCAACAACATCGACAGATTTTCTTCTTTTATGTGTTATGCTATGTTTATGTGTTTATGTGTTGTGCTTGAATTTTGTCGATAAATCTTACATCCCTTACTGTGATGTACTGAATGCCTATGCAGTATATGCGGTAATAAGCTGTGAACATAGAAATAAAAACGGAAATGAAGCTACCACTCGCTATTTCACAACAAGTCCACAGGCCTACAGAGTTCAACGTATAAAACGTTAAGTTTGTCAGCAAAGTATGTCTTGCCGATGTGCGTTGACAGAATGTGCACGTGGATAAAGTGAAATGTTATAGGAAATAAGGCGGAGACAAGGCAAGAAAGTCTGTATGCACAGAAATGAGGGGGAAATGGGAAACAGAAATGGGAAAAGAGAGTGAGGAGCTGACTGACAAGGGAAGGATACTTGGTCGCGGTGGCCATTCAAGATGAGATGTATACCCCGTATGTCGTTTCGAACACTGATCTCAAATCTGTGCTCCAAATGCGAAACAATTCTGGGAACAAAGTTACGGGACCGGGACCTCCTTGTGTTATACCACTGCGCTGAACGGATCACCGAGCCGAGGCAAATCCCATGCCTGTGCAACGACGGTCTAGGGGAGAGTGTGGTGGACTGGTAGGCATGATAGGTTCGATTCCTTGATGCATGGAGTCGTTTTGCTTTTCCATAAAATGCGTGGTAAATGCTTGCAAAACGTTTTTGTGCTCAATGTTGGGCATCTACATGGCTCCCTCACAAATAAGGAACATTGGAGAGGTATTACAAGGCAACTTTTTTTGCCTCTAGCGGCCGAATAAGGGTGGAGCTCCATTTGAGTAAAAGAGGAATTCGAAATATTCGCCTAAAATGAGCGCCAAAGGCTTGAAGGAGGAAGATTCCAAATGATTCGTCGGATCAAACACTCTTCAAAACGTTACCAGCGAATCTTCTGAACGGATGTGGGGTCATCATATTTGATGAAGGAATTTCGTTCTTGTAGCCTGAAGTAGACACCAACACTATCCAAGAGGCGGTAATGAAGTGGTTTTGAACCGTAATTACCAATACTATGAGAACAAGCCCGTTATCCTTTGCGAAGAAGCCGAATTAGTGAAACACGATCACAATGATCCTCTCCGGTCGCCTGATGAGGACAGCGACGATGGACCCGTAGCTTCGCAAATGACTTCCNTGAGAAACACGTTTTGTATCATCACGACAGAGTGCCGTCTACGGAAATTAGGAAAGCATGAGCTTTCGAGTTAATCTATTATTGACAATTTACGAAGTCTTATGTGGTCGCAGCTATCAGGTGCAAAGCAAGCGAGTCGGTCTTCCTACCTATGGAGATTAGCGGATAAGTTGGAAGGATAAGTTATCATAAAATTAATAAAGGAGTCCTATTGCACGACAGTTATTTCCACCGGATACCGCTTGAAATCAGCATAAAGGCTTATAGGTAACTACTTCAAAGCAGGTAGTAGGTGGATTTTTGGTCTTGAGAACATCCGTGGTATCATGTCTCACCGCTTCACTACGTTTACCTCGTGGGTGGGCTGCTTGGAAGGTCGTTTATTTTAAGAATTAGCGGATAATCATTTGTGCACACATATCGATCAACTACTGTTCCATGGCATTTCTTCAACAGTGCTAGTTAAGTTGTACCACCGCTTCGAAAGCGCGGGCACTATTCCTAGAATCTGTGGACCG